GAGAGCATCCGAGCAAAGGAATGAATGGAAAATCATGATCGCCGATGTCTGTCGCAGATCTGGCACTGGGTGATGATGATGATGATGATGTAAAAAAAGGAATCGAACTCGGGTCTTCTGTATGCGACGATGAATTGCCTAAACACTAAACGAGGGCTCTCGTGGCCTAGAGGTTAAGGTGTTGGCATCTCATTCAAAGGTCCCGGATTCGAATCTACAATTGTCTCCTTTCACCTCCTTTTCCGCTGTCTAGCAATGTTCTGTCGTCTGCTTTCGTCTCCTCTTTCTGTCTTCACCTCCTTTGCTCCCTCCTCTGGGCTCCTGACTCTTTCTCCAGCCTTTATACTGCTACTTCTTGGCTCCTTCTTACTGCTGTCTTTCAGCCACACCCCTGATCTTCTGGTAGGAAAGATCTACATCTATCATTCTCGGACAAGGGCGAAAAATCTCGGAGGGCCCGTGCGCACGTTAAAGATCCCTTGGTAGTATATAATCGGTAAGAGTAGGCTTCGGCCGCCACCCGGGCAAAATTCTAAAGTTCCTACCAACTGAAAATATTAGGTGAGCCTCGCGCGCTCATATGAACGTATGCAGTTGCGAGCGTCGTAAAACACCTACAACCCCCCCCCCCCAAAAAAACAAAACAACAACAACAAACAAACAGCAAACAACAACAACAACAACAAAATACAACCACTATACCACGAACATAGGGGTCCAGCCATTGTCACAGTACGTTTTTGCTACTGATAGTATAAGTGAGAAACAGATAAAGCGATAAATGTACCGAAGTACGCCCCGTAAAGACTGGCGTATTCCTCCTTAACACGCACTGATTGATTTTAAAATAAAACATTTGTAATCATTAACTAATCAGTAAATAACAACATGTGACCTCCATATTGGCACATGATATCCCAGCCGTTACAAATCACGTAGAATGTAACCTGCTTTACAACTTTTGACTGGATAAAAACACAACCACATAGCAAGTTGAAATGTGAAACTTTCGGACAAGTGATGTAAACTAACTGTAACCCCCTGACACATCACGAAGTGTTTCTGGCTCGTTAGATTAGAGATTTGTGTACAAAAACCTACCAACCACCATGTGCCACTGTCTGACCTTGTCTCGGTGGACACACTTTCTCACACAAATAGACCGAGTAACAAGCAAGGAAGAGGCACACAGTGTCATTATTGCGCCTAACAGCGAACTGCTCGACTCAAGACAGAGACGATGATGCCACGTCATGGAGTCCTCTCTCTGCTCCTGCTGGCTGTGGTCCTTGTGGTCTGCGTGGAGTCCGGCAAGAACTGGGTCCTGTTAGTGTCCGGAGCCGAGGGTTACATCAACTACAACATTCAGGTAAATACCTCTACGTATAACCACCGCTTAACATGCTTGGGACTACTGGATGTCTACAGCCAAAAAAAATAAATAAATAACAAACAAACAGAATAAAACAAAAACAAACCCCCAAAAAATTGTTATGTCCCGTGTCAAGGGCAATAGCATGATCATCTTTACACCCATTTCACAAAACTTCGAACAAATACAATACAACAACCAAAAGAACGCCAATGTGCTCGAAAAATAAAATTTGTAAAATGCAATCAAAACTGAGTAAAACGCAAAACTTTACACTTTTAAGAAATTAACCGTAAGGTCAGTGTGAAGGAACACTATCTGTGCATTAAAGAATAAACTTATTTATTATCGAAATTGCCACGGAGACTGTGTTAAAAAAAGAAAAAAAAAAGAAAAAAGGTAATCCATTCAAAGTGCAAAGTTTTGCTGTGGGGATTTTGAAAGCAGAGTCCTAGGAAACAACTCACAAATAATTGAATAATTGAAACTGTGAAACAGGAGGTCCAATATCGACTTATAAACAATCCCGCCACAGGGTTATCCTAAATTTCCATTGGAAAGTCAGTTAAAAATGAATTTGTTGCCAACTTGGTTTGTAAGAAGTTGTAGAATTCGGCACTTTACTCTATTATATTTAGGTTGCGGTTTTTAAAGCTTGATATTTATCAAACACGTGTTTCATTTAGATAACCTAGACGTCCCTTTGCTTGAATCTTTCAAAGTTTTGCTGAAATGAAGATAGATATATTAGCTACTCTTTAAACGGCGGAGAGCGGACTTGTTGAAAGGTACCTCTTGACGCTTTTGCTCGAGCTGAGATACAGGGCAATAAAGATCAAAAGTCAACTGTTTACAAAAAATTGAGTTCCTTTAAAAAAAATGATTAATTAATCATTTATCCACAAATATTTACAAGGTTTAGTGTTCTTTTCGCCAAAAAAATAGTGTTTTAAAGATTTGTTTGACTCAAGTCATCGTGTATAATAACAAAGATTTCGTGGTAACATTTACAGCCAGAGCTTACATAAGGGGAATGTTTCTACAACTCATTCATAAAAATAAAACCCTCCACTTTGCATACCAAAATTTAGGTCGGCGTGTGACCCATCTCGAACTGGGAACTGTGCACAAATGTAACAAAACAGTAAAGGAAGCAGGCTTTGCGCATTTGTACTCTATTCCAGTTCCACTTCATGAGCAAAGAAAAACCACAAAGCCACTCTTGGAAATGCTAGCATTGTCGACTCTTACAACGATTTCTACGACTCATTCATACGCAATCAACCCATTCACATCGTATGCTGTGTAGTGCGTATTGTTATCTTTATATTATTTTGTGCCATAATTCCCATATATTGACAGCAGAATTGTCTATACCTCTACTTTGTTGAGCAGGTATAGCCTTTTTCTATGCTATTCCGCCAAGTTACATGTCATCACCTTTATATTCACTAAACCGATAATACTCAAATTTTCGGTGCCGGTCTAAGCTTCTACCAAAGACGTATTTTTCTATACAGGGCACTGTCATGGCCGCCGTCTTTGCTCTGACGTGAGACCGATGCACAGTTTGCCCACCATGGGAGGCTCCATCACGTGGAAAGGAAGGGCACAAACACCAACCTCACTATAGTTGAGTGCTCACCCCCCTCCCCATCCTCTCTTACCTTTCGTTTGGCTCATATTGAGTCAAGTTGTGATGGGCTACGGTCTAGGATTTGCACTACAAGTGTACGGCTTCTACTGCTCTAGAATTTCCTCTGGGTAAATGACTCTGTCTTTACCTTCATTTTTTTCATCAGCAAGTACGAGTACATCGGTACTCATTTTCCCTGCTGCTATGTTTAATCTAGTATGTGTTTTCCCACAGTCCTGTCCATGCCACGCCTACCACACGATGCGCAACAACAGCATCCCCCCAGAGAACATCGTCCACATGTCTTACGATGACGTAGCTCACGACCCCGAGAATCCCATCCAAGGAAACCTCGTCACACTTCCTGGAGGACCGAACCTTTATCCAGGATGTGAAATGGACTACCGGAAGAAAGAAGTGACACCGGAAGTCTTCCTCAAAGTTCTCACTGGCGACAAGGAGGGCGTGAAGAAACTGATTGGTCGAGACGGTAAAGTGATTGACAGCGGTCCTGACGATCGTCTGTTTGTCTATATGATGGATCATGGTGGTCCAGGGGTCTTCTTCTTCCCAGGTACTAATGTTAAGCTGCACAACACCGATCTCATAAACGCCCTCAAACAGATGCACAGAGAGAAAAGGTACAAGGAGATGGTGATTTACATGGAGGCCTGCCACTCAGGGAGCATGTTCGATGGCTTGCTCCCAAAAAACATCAATATCTACACGACCACATCCGCCAACGCCACCGAGGTTGCGTTTATGTGCTGTTGGGATAAGTTTCGTAAAGCCTACGTAGGGGGCATCTATGATAACGCCTGGCTGTACGACTCAGACAAGGCAAATCTCCACAAGGAAACACTCTACCAACAATATGTAGTGACCAAGAAAGCCTGTGAAAAGCCTGCGTACAAGAGTCACCCCCAGCAGTACGGAGACTTGAACATGAACAAGGATGTCCTCGCTCAGTTTCAGGCTAAGTCAGAGAAGTACATACCCAGCGTGTGCCCAAACACACAGAAAACTGATGGACATATTCAGGGGCCAGAGTTCACTTTCGCCGGAATTGACCTCAATAACCCCGCCCTCGACATGGTTCAGATCGCCACCACGGCCCGTCGCCTCATTGAGTCACGTGATCTCAGTAGTCAGAAGCGGGAAGAGCTCAAGGCCGAATTACGTCATATGATGCTGGTCAAGGAAAAAGCCGAGTCGTTGACCAAAGACTTGGTCAAGGCAGCCATGCCCAACTCCAGAGGTCTGACAGAGACCGACATACTGACCGGGAAAGAGCGAGTCGACAACTCTGAGTGCTACAAAGCAGCCCTAAACTTCTTTTCTACCCGATGTCCAGGCATCAACATGAGGAGGTACCCATTCGCCAGGAGAAATCTCCAGGCCTTTATCAACCTCTGCAACCATCAGTCCCAAATTGACGTCATGAACGCCATCTTGGAGGTCACGGAGAAATACAGTATATGCCGAGCTCAGTAAACCTTTGGGATGAATTAAGTCGTCGTCAATTCCAGATCGTCTCTCTTTCCCCTGGTTTCTGCTTTTTTCTCCCGGGATCAAAATTTTTTATTGCTTTTCCAAATCACCTGATACATTCGAATAGAAAATGTTAGATCAAACACATCCTATATCTTACCTGATACACACAACTCAGTCTAATTCAATGTTTTTGTTGTGGTAAAGGGAGGGTTTGTTTGTTGTTGTTGTTTTTTTGTTTTTTTTGGGGGGGGGTAGGGGTGATATTGTAGTTTTAAGGATTGAACTTCCCTTTCAACATTGGAAGATAATTATCTATTATTAAGTGATAGCCCCTTTCTTTGATGTAATAGCCAAACTAAACAATCCAAGTTCAAGAGCGCTCATTTGGAATTCGATCAAGGGACAACGACACTCAGAAAGGAGAGAGGAAGGGGTGGGGATGGGATTGGTTGGGGTAGGGTGGGTGAGATGTGAGTGGGTGGACGGGGTTGAGGGTATTGTTTTCAGAAAGAGAAATAAGAAAGGAATGAGACGGGCCCTGGCCCACTGGTGTTGAGTACTGAAGGTACATTTTGTGAAACCAGAGAAGATACGACTTAGTAGCACCTTTCAGAACTACCTCAACCCTTTCATTGGTTACGGCCTCCATATTCAATAGGATACTGTTTGACCGAGTTGTGGAAGTTTACTACTGACACAGATAATCTACTGTTTTTCTCAAAACAACGAATTTTTTTAGTCAACGGGCAAGTTTTTTTTTAAAAAACCATCCATTTGTACGTTGTATTCAACTTGAAATATGGCAATAAAACAGAAAAAAAAACAAGCAAAGTCATTACCTAGCATTAAAGTCTGGCAATAAATTATGATTCAAGCCCATTTGATTCTGGTAGAGAAAACTGTTAAGGGTGAGGTAAAGTTTTTACTCAGCAGCAGGCTGAATCAGGACTGTGTTGAAAACCTTTTAGCAGCTATCAAAGAAAAAGGCAGTCACACAGTCACAGAAATAATCCTGTCCCCCCCCCCCAACGCCCCAAGATTTTTTGCACTGCTTTTCGCCCAATAATGTATATATAAAATCCTCGGACCAGTCCTGATATGAACTGTAACATGCTGTATGCATGCAAAGATGACGCTAACCATTTCCTCCTCAGTTTTTTTCCAGCAGGTGTAAGTCAAATGGTGTACGGTACCACCTTTGTTCTTAGAATATAAAGCCCATAAAGAGTAGCAGTCACTGGTAACTAATCTCATTAAATCACTGAAATCAGAGGACCTGGTGAAGCTTTAGAATATTGTCACATACATCAGTGGGTATTTCCTTAGGAAAGTGTCTCCAGTCATAAAATTATTTGACACGCCTAAGACTGCTTTAAAAAAAAAGGAAAACCTATAACGTGCCCTTTACAAATGAAGGTCTTATAAAGCTGTTCCTTTGCTGCTTGTAGCTAGAAGCTGTGGGGCTACTTGAAGCTACTGTAGCTTCTTTGAGGAAAGGAAACATATTGTGTTGATGAAGGCGTTAAAACACATCACTTGAAATAAAATTTTAAAAATTTATTGACCCCCCTCCTCCACAACATAAACTGCAGTCAGCGCTTGAAAACTTCAGACAGCCACTGCCATTGTAATTGATGACCACCCAGCGAGTCTGTTCCCCCCAGTCAGAATCCATCATCATGCACTGAAGTTTAAGAAACAGTCACTCGAAAAAAAAAGCCATAGAAACAGGTACGGAAGCTTACGTACTGTTGATATGAACCAAGTTGCTTGAGCTTGATAGTATAGTATGTCTCAGCAATACTGGCGAGTAAACAAGAGTCGCACTTTGGTCTTTCGCCCACCTCTTTTTTCCGAACTGCACACTCTTGGCTGGTGCATAACAAAATCAAACAAAATCTAGATCTAGACACAATGTACTAATTCTTTAAGTAATCTCTCTCTCTCTCTCTCTCTCTCTCTCTCTCTCTCTCTCTCTCTCTCTCTCAGGGCTAAAATTGATCGATTATAGTAACACTAGACTAGATTACTACCGTCCAAGATGATCAGTAGCCTAGTACTAGCACGGTAACCAATGTAAACTACCGCTAGCCCAGCGAGTTACACGCGCAGATTCCAAATAATCTTCTTCTAGATTATCAGTGTGAGCAGTAAAAAATTGAAATGGTTAAGGTATAACGTCCCGTGAGCTGTAAAATCTCAATAACTTCGTCAAACGTTTTCTGATTCATGACTGACTGACATGAAACAGACATTCAAAGAAAGGGCCAAGATAGTCCTAAAAGGTGTTGCTATCTACATGTATTCGCCCAGGTTTCGGAAAATGTATAGAGTATAATATCTTTAGCACTATTTGTCGAGTCCCGTCACATTCATTTCTTATAATTCTCTTTCTCAAAACATTCTCCACCCCCATCCCATTTTACCCCCAACTCCATACCTTCCATATCTGGGTGCGCCGCTCGCTCAGCTGGTATAATTCTGGTTTATGCTGCAGTTGGCCCTGGGTTCCCAATGAGACGTTCTTGAACTACAAGAATGATTACTTCGCCGAGTCATGTCGTAGATATATGTTACATTTGAAGGAGTCACCACTTAATAGTGGGTAACCTTAGATTGATGTTGAATGGGAAGTTAAACGCGTAGGCTAAACTTAGACAACCACATTCCCCCGCTCCCTCCCCCCATTCCCTCTTTGAACAGTCTGTGTCAAGTATTCTTAGTTTTAGTAGAGGTTTTATGGCGCTTCCAACTGCATAAGGTCATATGAGCTCCAGAACATTAGAGGTGTTACAAGAGAGTAACAAACACAAAAAAAGAAGGAGGGGAGATAAGGACGATAGATGTTTGATAGGAAAGAAGAAGCAAACCACACCAGAGCACCCGCCAACCACACACTGTGCCAAGTATGGCACAAGAAAAGGCCCCCAAAAATGCAACCAAGACATGTTTATAAAATTCGACGACAAGCACATCTGGTCGGGGTATGTAGTTTAATACTTAACAGCTGGCACATGCTCTTCTCATATGTTCTGCTCGGAAGAGACACTGGCCACAATATGGTCTCGTGCTTATATACTGCTCACAACACCGACAAGGGTAATCATTACGAAAGGACGAAGACAACTCAAGACAGTTACGGGTGGTCACTAAGAATAATGGACGAAGACAACTGGACACTGACTTATTGTGTTAAATCCCTTAAACATGTTTGACAGTGACAACACTAACAGTGTTATTGTTAAAACTTTTTATAATTAAGTAAAAGATTACACAAACTGCAAACAACAACTTCAAACACTGGATAAAAAAGTAGAAATCAGCGGAAGTAGTGGCTGTCAGAAACTGAGGACGACTTGGTCCGGTGGGTCTACAGAGCTCGGCAAATTCCGTATTTCTCCGTGACTTCCAAGATGGCGTTCATGACGTCAGTTTGGGGCTGGTGGTTGCAGAGGTTGATAAAGGCCTGGAGATTTCTCCTGGCGAATGGGTACCTCCCCATGTTGATGCCTGGACACCGGGCAGAGAAGAGGCTCAGGGCGGCCTTGTAGCACTCAGAGTTGTCTACTCGCTCTTTCCGGGTCAGTATGTCGGTCTCCGTCACACCTCTAGGGCTGGACATGGCTGCCTTGACAAGGTCTTTGGTCAACGACTCAGCTTTTTCCTTGACCAGCGTCATATGACGTAATTTGGCCTTAAGCTCTTCCCGTTTCTGACTATTGAGATCACGTGACTCGATGAGGCGACGGGCAGTGGTGGCGATCTGAACCATGTCAAGGGCGGGGTTATTGAGGTCGATTCCAGCGAAGGTGAATTCTGACCGATGAATATGTCCATCAGTTTCCTGTGTGTTCAGACACATGTCGGGTGTGTACTGCTCTGAATTTGCCTGAAACTGAGCGAGGACTTCCATGTTCATGCTCAAGTCTCCGTACTGCTGCGGGCGACTTTTGCGTTTAGGCTTTTCACAGGCTTCCGTGACCACTTCATATTGTTGATAGAGTGTTTCCTTGTGGAGATTTGCCTTGTCTGAGTTGTACAGCCAGGCGTTATCATAGACACCTCCTACGAAGACTTTGCGGAACTCATCCCAACAGCACATTTTTGCACTCTCATTGGGGTTGGCGGACGTGGTAATGTAGATATTGATGTTGTTCGGGAGTAGGCCCTCGAACATGCTCCCTGAGTGACAGGCCTCCATGTAAAGCACCATCTCCTTGTACATTTTCTCTCTATACATCTGTTTGAGGGTGTTGTTGAGGTCAGTGTTGTGCAGCTCAACAAAACCCGGGAAGAAGAAGACCCCTGGAGCCCCATGATCCATCATATAGACGAACAGACGATCGTCAGGACCGCTGTCAATCGCTTTACCATCTCGACCAATCAGCTTCTTCACGCCCTCCTTGTCGCCAGTGAGAACTTAGAGGAAGACTTCCGGAGTCACTTCTTCCTTCCGGTAGTCCATTTCACATCCGGGGTAAATATTTCGTCCTGTAGGAAGGGTGACGAGGTTTCCTTGGATGGGGTTTTCGGGGTCGTGAGCTACGCCATCGTAAGACATGTGGACTATGTTCTCAGGGGGGATGCTGTTGTTGCGCATGGTTTGGTAGGCGTGGCATGTGCTGGACTGGGGAACACACAAACAGGATTAAACATAGCAGCAAGGAAAATGGTTACTTGTTGGGGAGAGCGATGAACACCCTCACAGAGTCATTTATCCAAAGGCCGTTTCAGCGGCGTAAAGGCCATAGAATTGTACGTGTGCTTTGACACATTCAAGGAGTTTATTTTATGATGTATTATGACATCCTACACCATGCACTCTGATGTATGTCCTGTTTACTAAACAACGAACTTTTGACTCAATTTGTGAGCCAAATAAAGGGCAAGAGGTGAAAATGTGTGTGTACTCGACTATACTATAACTATAATGAGGATTGTGTTTTTGCCCTTCTCTTGGGCGAATGGTGATGCTCACGGTGTGCACGCTTCGCAGCGAATTATTTTTTGTTTTTTTGTTGTTGTTGTTGTTGTTGTTTTTGTTTTAATTTGTTTTAGAGAACACAGATCGGCAGCTTTATCAGAGCGCGGCCAAGGAATAAGTTATCTGCTGCAACCATAGGCTTAAAATTTTTTAACTTCTATGGTTGCAGCAGCTTTGATATATATATATATATATATATATATATATTTATGTATTTATTTATATATATATATATATATTTATTTATTTATTTATTTATTTATTTAATTTTTTTTTATATATTTTTTTTTTAATTTTAAAAATATCATCATCATCATCATTATCATCATCATCCAGTCCAGGTCTGCGACAGACATCGACGATCATGGTTCTTCATTCATTCTTTCTCTCGGATGCTCTAAAAATAACTACGTTTCCCTGATCTTTCCCTGTTACCCATTTGTTTAGGTTCCCTAAGTATATTGTTCTGGGCATACCCCTGCCTCGCTTGCCCTCAATTTTGCCAGTGAGAGCTTGATGTTCAAGACCCTTATGTCTACTTATGTGTCCCCAAAACTACATTTGTCGTTTACTGATTGTTTTTATCGTTGAGCGTCCTACGTGGGATTCATCAAGTACTACCTCATTTGGTTTCTTTTCCTTCCATGATACTCTTAGTAGTCTATACATACATATATATATAGATCTATATACATTTTAATTAATTTTTTTTTACCGGCATATTAAATATTATAGATATTTAATTTGTGCTACAAAGAAGAAGTACACAGATTGTTATTTTTACCTAGGAATCATGATATCACACAAAAATATTGATACCCAACAAAAAAGTAAACACCTGTGGCATTTACTTTTTTGACAAGGTACACACAAAAAGACATTGACACCAAAGAAAAGGTACGTTTACACGTTATGACATTCACTTTGGTGCACAGCAGGGGTCACCAAACCAATTTTTTTCAGAGCGGGCAGGATAACTAGGATTATAACTCAGAGCGGGGCACAGATAACGGTTTATTAGATGCAACACACTGATGACGTGCAAAATGAAAGATTTATCATGTTAAAGCTGATCAAGAGTCTGATACTTATGAATAATAATAATAATAATTTTCTTCGAGCGAGAGCGATGCTCTTTTTCGGCTCCATTGTCAATATGCTAAGCGGCACCTCCACTCGTCCAAAAAACTCCATTCGAATTGCATTTGTTCCTAGACATTCAAGCATATTATGTTTGACATCTTCCTTTTCATGGCCGCATCTTCGGCAACATGGGCTGAGCTCTTCATTTACAAAGTTCTTATACAAAGCTCTGATGATGATGATGATGATGATGATGATGATGATGATGATGATGATGATGATGATGATGATGATGATGATGATGATGATGATGATGATGATGATGCTACTACTACTACTACTACTACTACCCCCCCCCACCCCCCGGGACGGTGCCACTGGCCACTGATTGAAGTGCCTTTAGGCCATTCCCAAAGGGGGGAGATTTCTCGTTAATGCAGAGTAGAATTGTAAATGGGCTAATTCATCATTGCCATGCTCATAACTGTGCCTAATCTTCAACAGGAAACTGTTATTATTGTCAATTTCCTCTACTTCTTTTGTAAGTTTGTCACACTCTTCTATCCTCTATTTCCGGGGTGCCTTGATAGTCGAAGCAGAATTTGTGCTGTTGAAGCTAGAGAGATGAGCAAAGTAAGTCTGATTCCCTATAACTTACTGCAAGGACTTCTCTGTTGACTTCCACCTCTTGGCGCTCATATGACCTTATGCAGTTGCGAGCGCCGTAAAACGTGTACTAAAACTAAACAAAAACTAACTACTACTACTACTACTACTACTACTACTACTACTACTACTACTACTACTACTACTAAGTTGTACTTTAATTGCGCAAGGGGGATATCGTGGCCTAGAGATTTAGGTGTTGGCTTCTCATTCAAAAGTCCCGGGTTCGAATCCGTGTAGCGACCGAATGTTTTCTTCTCTAAAATTGTCTCCTTTTACCTCCTCTAGCAATGTTCTGTCATCTGCTTTCGTCTCCTCTTTCTGCCCCCACCCCCTCACCTCCTTATCCCCTCGTCTGAACTCCTGACTCTTTCTTTAGCCTTTGTACTGCTACTCCGTGGCTCCTTCTTACTGCTGTCGTTCAGCCACACCCCTTATCTTCCGGTAGGAAAGATCTACACCTAGCCTTCTTGGACAATGGCAAAAAATCTCGGAGGGCCCGTGTGCAAGTTCGCACGTTAAAGATCCCTTTGTGGTCTAAAAAATCGATAAGAGTAGGCTTCGGCCGCCACCCGGGCAAAATTCAAAATTTCCTACCTACTGAAAAAGTTTAATGTGTCCCGTGCGCTCGTATGACCTTATGCAGTTGCGACCGCCGTAATATACTTACATTTTTTTATTGCGCAAATTCACCTAAACAGTAAGCTTCATGTGCTTCACAATCTACATTATGCTAGAAGTCATAAAGTCGATAAAAGCACTTATTCTTGCATTGCAAAGTTCAATGAATTGATTAGATTATTTTGTTGACCTAGTCCCGAGCACATTACAAACACATCTTTTAAGTTTTATTTTTTACCATCTAACATGCTATATACATGTAAACCATTTAGCACAAAGTAGATCGAAATAATTCCATGCATTCTTAGAGGTCCAGTGACAAATGCTCAACTGTGGGAAAGAACAAGCCAAAGGCCAGTAAAGGAAGACACACAGGTGAAGAAATGGAAATGGACTGGACACACCCCGAGGAGACCCCTAACAAGCATCATCAGACAGGCTGTGACGCGGAATCAACAAGGAAAACGTTAGACAGGAAGGCCAAAGATGACATGGAGGTGAGCGGTACAAGCGGAAATGGAAAAGGCGGGGACATCATGGAAACAGCTAGAAAAGGATGCACAGGACAGGCTTCAGCTGGAGAAATGTTGTTGATGGCCTAAGCTCCACTGGGAGTTAAAAAGGGCAGGATATAGATTCTTAGAGGGGGTTGATATACGAATAGGTAACGTTTACCTGGATACAATAGTTTTCATAACCTTTAGCTCCGGAAATTATCAGGACCCAGTTCTTGCCGGACTCCACGCTAACCACGAGGACAACAGCCAGCAGGAGCAGAGGGAGGACTCCATGACGTGACATCATCGTCTCTGTCTTGTGTCGAGCAGTTCAATGTTTGACACAATAATGACACTGTGTGCCTCTTCATTACTTGTTTGTCTGTCTACGATATGTATATGTCTGAGAAGGTCTGTTGGCCTAGATCTACACTGGGATAATGTCTGACAGCGAGATATCCTGTGGGTGTTTTTCTTTTGTTTTTAAACATAGATCTCTTATCCGACGTGCCCCAAACACCTCGTGATGTTTCACAAGATTCTATTATTGTATTCACGTTCTAGAAGCGACGAGAAATATGTGACAATGCGGAGGTCACGCGGTGAGATTGACTGATTAGCTAGCGATTACAGTTTTACGCCTCCATCGATGCGCTCATATGACCTTAATATGCAGTTGCGAGCGCAGTAAAACCCCATACTATACCATACCATCGGCGCCATTTCGGGAGTGCGCGCGCGCGTGCGCGAGTGTGTGTGTGTGTGTGTGTGTGTGTGTGTGTGTGTGTGAGGACGAAGGGCTAGAACTCAGATGGCCGCCTGGTCGGAAAAGTAAAGTAAGTAAAGTAAGTGTGTGGTGTGTATGTATGTGTGTGTGTGTTTGTGTGTGTGTGTATGTGTATGTGTGTGTGTGTGTGTGTGTGTGTGTGTGTGTGTGTGTGTGTGTGTGTGTGAGTGTGTGTGTTCTTTGGGAAGGGGGAAGGGAGGAGGGGTGCTTCGAATTCGATCCTACAACATCCCATCTGCAGATGGAATTGCTTGGTATATGAAACTTTCCAACTGGAAAACCGAATTCACGTCTTCTAAGTGCAACAGCAAAAGGCCTCACTTAACTGTTCGGTCAACACCTCTGACCCTCGTTCCGTGAACACCCTAGTCAGACAAACACACAAGCAGTATCAGGTGAGCAATCATTCTTTTAGAGCCTTTAACTCCACCATGGACACATTTTATATCACTTAAGAGACGGGCTTCAATCCTGCCTGCCAGGGCTAACCAGGACAAGGAATGATACAGCATCTCATCAGAGAGACCGAGATACGCAATTAAAATTCTCTCCACACAAGAATCGAACTGTTGGCGGTTGGGGGGAGCTCTAGTGTGGTTTGCTTCTTCTTTCATATCAAACATGTATTGTCTTTATCTCCCCTCCTTCTTTTTTGTATTTGTTACTCTCATGCAACACCTCTAATC